TGATGTCCCTGTGGAGGAGGAGAGTGAGTTTATTGCTCTGGAGAAGGGTGTGAGACTGCAATCTTCACAGTGCTGCATTATCTACGTGATCATGGTTAACAATTCCTGCACTCCTCCAGCTGTCAGGCAGCTCAGCTCCTTCCTCCTTGCTGCTCCAGGGAAGGGCAGGGACACCTCAGTTTGCACAAGAGCTCAGAACTGAAGCTGTGATTGCTGCTGGCATCCTGCTCTTGGCTTTATTGCCACTTGAAAGCACCTAGGTGATAACAGCATTGGGAAGAGCAGAGCTGTGACAGGCTGGGGGGAGAGGGCAAGAAAGTAATTAAGGGCTTAAAATGGTGCCAGAGACTTGCACTTCGTGCTCTCAGTGACCTTGGTGGTGAAGGCTTTGTGAGCCTTTGTATTTCACTGTGTGCAGAAGGGGAAATTCTTGCCAGGTTGGCTTTGAAACTGGTGCTGGCCCAGGGGAGGACAAGTGGTGTGGGAGTTGGTGTCTGGCTTGATGCAGCTGACACACAAGAGGAGGAGTGCAGATGTACCAAAAATCAGGGAAAAGGTTGTGAACAAAGCAAGGAGGCCACAGTCCCTCAGTTTTTCCTGAAATCCTGGAGCTGCCTGTGAAAGCATCAAAGACAGGGAAGAGAGATGTTCCTGTGGAGCTCAGAGGTAGAGCAGGAACTCGGCTGTGTGTGAAAAAACAGCAACCTGGTGGGAAAGGCAGGGGAGGCTGCCTGGGCGGTGATTAAAGTGACATTAGTGGGACAGGCAGGAGCAGCATCAGGGACTCTCTTCATGTGGGGGTGAGAAACTCTTCAAACACTGTCTGGGAAGCTTTGCTGCCTGTGACCTGGCCAGCATCTCCCAAAATAGTCACCTCGCCGTGAGTAACTTCCTTTGCGCTGTTCCCAGCTCTCCCTGGCACGTAAATCCTGTCCCCCAGTTCCTCCTGCCTTCCTGTTTGGAGAGAGGAGGGCTGCTGGGAGAGGCCTTCCAAGGGTCCTTGAGCTGTTGGGATTTCAGCTGGGAAAGTCTGCTGCTGGGCTGGGTGGGAGCTGCAGTGTCAGGGTTACATCCTCTGTGGCTGCTCCTGGTTCTGAGCTCCCAGCCTTCACCTGTGCTGGTTGGGAACAGGGATGTGCTGCTGTTCCTGGGCTGTTTGCTGCTCCTCACTTCCTTTTCACACACATCTGAGCTGTAGATTAGGCTGCTTCTCACCAAAATGTATTCCCAGGGGGAAGGGGAGCCAGCAGTTATCCCTGCTGCCAGGACTGTGCTTTCCCACAGAGCCTGGTCTTAGGGCAGGGAGGCACTTGCTGCCTTGTCTGAGGTCCCTTCTGGGTTTGAAGACCAAAGCAGGAGCAGATCCCCAGGAGTAGCAGCATGTGCAAAGTACCTGTCCAAAGGGTGCTGCTTTAGGAATACATTTTGGTGAGAAGCAAAAAAAAATCACCAAAAATCACCAAATGTGGGAAGGGGGGCCAGCAATCATCCCTGATGCCAGGACTGTGCTTTCCCACAGAGCCTGGTCTTAGGGCAGGGAGCTGCTTGCTGCCTTGTCTGAGGTCCCTTCTGGGTTTGAAGACCACAGCAGAGCAGCTCCTGTGCTTCCTTCAGTCATTTGAGGGAAGATCAGAAGAGCTCAGATGAGGGATTTGGATCCTGAAATATTTACTCTTCCCTCCCTGCTCCTCTGATGATCATGCTTGTGTTGGAAGCAGGCTCTGCAGATTTCCTTGTCCAGCGTGGCCCACAGGAGATGGGATGAGGTTTCTGCTGGACCCTGCCCCATCTTTGGTGTTTGCAGGTGTAGATTTCAGGATTGCTGTGCAGCAAAACGTGCTTTCGAGCTGGTGTGTGATGCCTTCTGCCTTCCAGAGCAGGGGGAGACTGTCCCTTCATCTTCAAGCAGTTGGAATGAACTTTAGCACCACAGCTCTCCACTTTCTCCCTGCTGGAAGGAGCAGGGAGGAGGCAGTGCACGCTTCCTCGGTGCCCTGGATCCCTGCTGCATCTCTGCTCCGCGGGTGAGCCGCTGGAAGCTGACAGGACCCGGCTCCTCTCCTGCCGGCTCTGCAGCACCCTCTGCTGTGCTTGCTCTGCCCCTTGGCTGCTCCTCTGTGTCCGTGCCTTGATCCAGGAAACGCTGGGGGGAACCAGAGCAAGGAGTTGATGCTCTCAAACACATTCAGTTGCTGAACATCGAGCAGGGGCTGGTTTATGTATGCCATGGGCTAAACGTGATGTAACTCCTCTTCTTGTGTTCCTTGTGTGTGGGTTGAAGCCTTCCTTTTCATCATCTCCAGCTGAAATGAATCCTGATTTTATCTTATTTTAGCTACTGTGGAATTGCAAAACTATCTGATTATTTCCCCCCCTTTTCTTCCCCCTCTCCCTTTTTCCCCCTCCATTTTCCCCCCCTTTTTTTCCCCTTGTTTTCTTCTTTAGTTTATTCTCCTTCCACGATAAAAAAAGTTCAAGAGCTCTGTGCCCTTGCTGTCTGACCCATCCTGACAGTTATTTTGGAGAGGACACTTAGGTTTGAAGAGAATCCTTCCTCTTTTTGTTGTCTTGATAGCCAGCACTCAGGTGGTGACACAAGGAGGACACAGTTGTTTTATTCTTTCCCCAGGAGCAGCATCTTGAGCTGGACTCCCTTACAGTGAAGGATGAAACTGAAAGAACTGAGGGCTCTTTGTAGTTACACTCATGTGAAATTTAAAAGAAATTTCACAAAAATCAAGAAAAACTTTCACATTTAAATATTTTGCTGTGATTGTTTTGGCTTATGCCTGGCTCTGCTAATTATCTCTTCCCCTGTTTGTTGTTTTCCACTGAAACACCCTGCTCAGATGCAGATGAGGTCATCCCAATAGTCAGGTTTTGGGGTTTGCTCCATGTGTCCTGTTGTCCTGCATGTCTCCAGTGCCCCATTGTTCTGTGTGCAGAACAATTAACAGGCATTCATGTTAATTCTGGGCCTAAGCTCCTGACTTGCACTTGGCACAGGCTCTGGTTGCCATGCTGCTGTCCCAAATTCCAGCTGCATTAGGAGGCTCCAGCTGCCATGGCCAGCACCAGCAGTGCTTTCTGGAATTTGGGAAAACCCAGGGCTGCAGAGTCTGCCCATGAGCACTGCTGGGAGCCTGCACTGCAGTTAAATTGCAATGGGATTTTATGGAAATAGGGTGTGTGAAGACAGCTGACTGTGGGGTGTGTAGCTGGAAATGGGAAAGAATCATTGTCCAAAATATGGATTTGGTGTTCAGGGGCTTTTGTTGAGGTGGGGAGGAATGGCCCAGCCATTCTTGTCTGGCTCCATGCTGAGCTGTTTGAGCACATAGGGAGAGAGGGTCAGTATATGATGGATTAAGATTATGTGGGTGAGAACCTGAATCTGTTAAAACAAATGTGGAGGTTTTACTTGTGGTGCTGGAGAGAGTCCAGCACAGAGATGATTTGGGGTCTGGAACATCTCTATAGATGAGAGACTACAGGAGCTGGGCCTGTTTAGTCCAACGAGAAGACTGAGAGGGAATCTTACCATGTGAAAATCTCAGAGGTGGGTTTCAAGAGGATGGTGCCAAAACTCTTCAGTGGTGCCCAGCAACAGGATGAGGAGCAGTGGCCATGAATTAAAAAACAAATTCCACCTCAGCATGAGGAAGAAAATCTTTCAATGAGGGTGCAGAGCATGGAACAGCTGCCCAGGGAGGGCGTGGAGTCTCCTTTTCCAGAGACATTGCAAATCCATCTGGATGTGTTCCTGTGTCACCTGCTCCAGGTGACCCTGCCTTGGCTGGGAGGGTTGGACTGGATGGTCTCCAGAGGTTCCTTCCAACCCCAGATGTTCTGTGAGCAGAGTTGGGATTTCTTCCTTTTTGTTTCCCTTGCTGTGAAAAATGCGTATTTTATGATTGGCTTTTTGCAAATATTAAAATGAATATTATATGTGTTGTGTTAGAAAGTAATGCTGTCTTAATTTTCTTAAGTAGTGTGTTAAATATAATTTTAGGTTATAACATAAGGTTAAAATAGAAACTATGTTATGTAGGATACTTTTTTTCTAAAGAAAGGACTTGCACTGAGATAGCAGCCACAGGACACCTGAATCTTTCAGAGAAAGAGAATTTATTGCTCCATTATCAGGAGAAATGAACTTCTTCCTGCCTCAGCCCTGAAGACACTGTCAGGATTGAGAGGAAGAAGCTGACACTGCCCAGACAGAATCCTGTGTTTGAATGGAATTTATGCATCATGTATGAGGTGTATGAATATGCAACAGGCTGTTGCTTTTAAGGGTTAATCCTCTGTTAACGTGGGTCATTTTTTGGGCTTCTTTTGCCCAGAAAAAGGTACCTGGACATCCATAACTCTTTGTTTCTATTATCTCATATTTTCCTCATCCAAATTGCCCAGATTATTATTACTACTCTAATTATATTGCTATTTTCATAACCATTTTATAACTATTAAACTTTGGAAATTTTAAAAACAAGGAATTGGCGTTTTTCACACTCGCCACACTCTGACCTGCCATGCTCTTTGCTGCTCTTGCAGAACATCCAGAAGATGCTCGGCCTCGCTCCCTCCCGGGCTGCCACCAAGCAGGCAGGAGGATTCCTTGGCCCCCCACCTCAGGCAGGGAAGTTCTCCTGAAGCAGAGCCCTCAGGGAAGCCTGGCCAGTGCCACCAGCCTGCCTTGGGGAGGTGACAACAGGGATTCTGCACCAGGCATCGCCCGTCTGAACCCCGGCTATGCAGTATTGACGCCATCATCCATTCCGAGCGTTCCACCAGCAGTTGTTCGTTCATCCAACCAAGAAACTACTCTCGGAAGATAGCGCGACCTTTGTTTCTGAGTAATAAACGGCATGGGCATGTTAATTTATGTTAAGAATGTCTCTTAATTGGGTGCTGGGGAGCAGGCCCGGCTGCCTGGCGGGCGGCACGCCCCGGGCGGGGCGGGTCCTGACGGTGAAAAGGCGTCTGAGGGAGAGGCGGCGCTTCCCGGCCGCGGCGCCTCACGGGATCCATCCCGCCGATGTTGGCACAGTCCCGGCTCCCCAGCCTCCTCCTCCAGCTCCCCCGGCTGCGCTCAGTCGCTCCCGGCCTCGCCACCATGAGCTCCGCCACCGGCACCCTCACCGTGCAGCAGCCCCTCAACTACCGCGCGGGAGCCCGCGTCCAGCCCGCCGACGGCGGGCAGCTGGAGGAGGTGTTCGAGCCGGCTACAGGTACCGACCGGGAAAGCTCCGGGGGCAGGGAGAGCTCTGTGCCTGCAGGGCTCGGTGTCCTCGGCTTCCCCCAGCTCACCCGGGTGTCACATATGCGGTGTCCTGCTGCCCCTCGGCCACCGCTGCTGCAGTGGCGGAGCTCTGCCTCAGTGTTTGGCCATCATCGTTCTTCGTGCAGAAATCAGCTCTCGCTCTGTCACTGCCTGATTTTGGCAAACCTCCTCGATTTAAATATCTCTGTAGTTATGTAATTGTAGTTATCGGTGTGTAGCGTTCAGCAGAATCGTTTCTAAGTGTTTAACCCTCCTGGGGAAATGTGTAACGAGAGCCTTGAAGAGGGTGGTGGAAGGGTAACAAACTCAACTGGAAAAGCCAGAGATTTTGTAGCAACTGGAGGTAATTAGTAACCAGAACACGACTGTGGGCAATGTCAGCTCTTTTAATTGGAACCAGCTGAATTGCAGCCCCTCTTCTCTGGCTGAATTTTGATTACAAATCAGTGGGTTTCAGTGGGAAATTCTGTGCCTGGTATAGGTGGCTTGACTGAAGTATGTAGGGTGTGGTGCAAGTAAACCACATTCTGGACCCCTTTTCTGAGATTTCCATCTCATTATTCCCTGTTCAAAAACGTGCCCAGGTCGTGTGCTGTGCAAGCTGCCCTGCTCTGGGGAGAAGGAAGTTGATCTGGCTGTGCAGAGTGCAAAAGCTGCCTTTAAAATATGGAGTCAGATGTCAGGCATGGAGCGGTGCCGAGTGATGCTGGAGGCTGCCAGAATTATTCGGGTATGTTGTGGAGGACAGGGGTGGTTCTGTCTCTGAGCTTCCTTGTGGCTTATTGTGGCTCTTGGAGGCTTCAGCAGGACTTGCAGAACTCCAGGAGTTGCTCAGGAGTTAAAACTCGCCTTTGGCCAGAAGAGATAGGAGGCTGTCTCAGGCAGGGCTTTGCTCCTATCACTGGAGTCAGCATCCGTGCCTGCAGCTTTGGCCTTATCACTGGATTCAAGGCCACTGTGTGCTTTCTCAGCTGAATTCTGTTAGCATAAAACTGAAGCGGCCCATTTGGCATCTTGCAGGCTTTGTGGTTCTTTTAACAGCTGCAAAGATTAAATTTCACTGCACACAGTTTCAGAGCTGAAGTTGCATAACTGGCATGGCTGAACTTTTGGCTTCTCGGAGGCTGTTGTTACATGACTGGAATGTGTCCTGGCAATAAGAGAAAGTAGGAGTACTGGTTTTTTTTATCTGTCAGATAGTACACATGGGAGGATGCACATAAGTGAGGTTTAACACAGACTCCTTTCTAAGACAACAGGTCCTTGGGCTTCAGAGTTAATCTCCATCAAGTTAATCTCCATTAAGTTCTTACACATCTGTAAGAACCCAGACTTTCCCCAGTGTGTATAAGTCATGAGAAAACTTTCCTTTATGCCAAACTTTTGCTTTTTGCAGACTTCCAGAGCAGGGTGACATTTCTGTTAAAGGATGTCTCCCAGCTGCATCGCTTTGTCCCTCTTCACTGGCCTCTGGTTCCATCCTGATCTTGCTGTTTGCTCTTCCCGGTTCAGTTCTGCAAATTTTATCATTGTTTGCCAGACGGCTTCTCTAAGTTCATGTTTGTTCATCTTTTAGATAAACAGGGATGTTAAACAAGACTGGACCAGCAGTGAACCCCTGCAGCTTTCCCTCTGACATTGCCCTGCACTCAGTCACCACGGGGACATTGATAAACAGCAGTTGGGAATGTCCCTTTTGGAGATGACCGTTTCTCATGGCGGGATCTCGTTTGGATTTGTGTGCTGTCTCCTTGTGGTGTTCTGCTCAGCTTCTCTAACATGTTGTCTCTGTCCTGTGCTGCTCACAGGAGCAGAGGGAGGAAATTGCCACCATGGAGACCATCAACAATGGGAAATCCATCTTTGAGGCCAGAGTGGACATCGACATATCCTGGCAGTGCCTGGAGTATTACGCAGGGCTGGCAGGATCTCTGGCGGGTGAGGAGTTACTGCAGTTTGCTCTTTGCTCTCTGTCCCACCTTCCCTGCTAACTCCAATGGCACAAAGCCATCTTTGCTGCTGATTTCCCTGAGAGATGGGCCATTCCTGAAGAGCTTGGAAGGGTTCTGAGAGGTCTCTGCCCACTGCTACCATGCTCTGTGAGCTTGCTGGGGTAAAACTGTCTCTCCTCCCAGGCAAAGCCAGACCTGACCCCTGGGGGCTCTGACCAGACAAGAAGGGACTTTGCTCTTTTCTACCCTCTGGCTGTTTCTTTGCAGGTGAACACATCCAGCTTCCTGGGGGATCCTTTGGGTACACTCGGAGAGAACCTCTTGGGGTGTGTGTTGGCATTGGAGCCTGGAATTACCCTTTCCAGATTGCCTGCTGGAAGTCTGGCCCCGCCTTGGCTTGTGGTAATGGAGCCTTTCTGCCCACCCCAGTGTCTCCTCAAAGCCAAGTGATCCTGTGGGGCACAGTGATCTCTGGGATGAAGTCTATGATTGCCTTGAAGTGTTGAAGGATTAGCAGAATGTTCAGGCAGTTCCTCTGGCAGAAAGGGAAGGGAAATGCAAGGAGGAACATGTCAGATATTGAGAAGTTAGGAGTGCATCCAGAAAAACACAATAGCTTGGCTTTGTACCAGATGGGGAAGGTCTCTGGGAATGTCTGCAGGGCAAGACCAGCAGCCCCATCTCCCCCAGCCTCTGCCCAGCAGCAGTGATCAACTAAAGTGTTTCCTCCTCTCTTGGGGGAAACTTCTGGGCTCTGTTGAGACAAACTCACAGTGTGGGGTGGGGATTGTTGTTTCTTCCCTGAAGCAGTTTGGATGTTAACCCCACCTCGCCTGTGTCTGGGTTCCCTTAGGCAATGCGATGGTCTTCAAGCCTTCACCCTTCACCCCTATTTCTGTGGTGAGGCTGGCAGAGATCTTCACAGAGGCTGGAGTGCCCAAGGGGCTCTTCAACGTGGTGCAGGGTGGGGCTGCCACAGGCCAGCTCCTCTGCCAGCACCCAGATGTGGCCAAAATCTCTTTCACTGGCAGTGTGCCAACTGGCATGAAGGTAAAGACACCTTGAGACAAGGGTTGTATCAACTACAATCAATCTGTAGTTGATACCTCCTTGAGTTTTTCTGCATGGGGCAGCATTTTTGGGGCTGGGCAAGGAGCTTGCAGCACATAGAGGGTCATGCTGGGGATCCAGTTAACCTGCTGGGCATGAGCTTGGGGGAGAAACCCCTTGGACAGCCTCACTTGCTTAGCCCCTGTTTGCAGTGAAGTCTCTGAGCTGCTCAGGTGGGTGTTGCTGTTGGGAGGAGAGTACATGAAACAGCAGCACTAGAAAAATGTGGTTCTGGCTGCTATAAAGCACTGAAGCTGCATACAACCTACTGTTTTTAAGCAAGGGAATAGTTTCTGTGAGTTTATCACCCTCAGTTTATTATTCCAAAATTAAAGAAAGACTTTTGGAAATAAATTCTGAGTTGAAGGAGGGGAAATGTCCTATGAACACTACCTACATGTGTGTACCTGTGGGTTGCAGTGACAGATGGCAGCTAAAGCTGCCTGCAGCTTACACTGAGCACGAGACTTCCTGCAAATGCCTCTCCAGGTTTTGTTGGCTTTATCTGTACCCCCAGACCCTCTGTGGCTCTCCTCATCTGAACTCACCACATCTAGGGAACCCATCTTGCCCTTTGTGCTGCTTCTCTTGTTGGTGAATAGCCCTTTGTGTCTCTCTTGCCTCTCCCCTCCAGCCTCCCCTTGGCCAGTGGATCACTTGTCTCTTGTGTCCTTGTTCCCCTCAGATCATGGAGATGGCAGCTAAAGGGATAAAGCCAGTCACCCTGGAGCTGGGGGGCAAATCCCCCCTCATCATCTTCTCAGATGCTGACCTGGAGAATGCTGTGAAGGGAGCCCTCATGGCCAACTTCCTGACTCAGGGCGAGGTGTGTGTGTCTGTGGGGCAGGGTGGGGCCAGCCTGTGACCTCCTGTAAGTGAGGGGTGCCCTGGGGCTCCCATCCTGCCACACCTTTCCCTGGGCAGTGTCACAAGGGATGCCCTGGAAGGAGCCAGGGTGTCCCAGCAGAGTGTGCCTTAGCCACAGGGCACACTTAGCCAGTGTCCTGTCCTTCCCTGGCACCAAGCACCCAGCTCAGCACAGCTGCTCCTGTGCCCTGGGCACCAGTGTGGCACTCACAGCTCAGGAGAAGCTGTGCTGGTGTCCCCTGGAGGGGCAGCAGATTCCAGCCTGGTGTGCTGAGCCTGAGGACAGGCTTCTGTCCTTCCCAAATTCGGGATATCCTCCCGTGCTGCAGGTTTTGTGTAATCCTGTTGGCAAATTTGCTCAGTAGGGTCATTTCTAGGAATTCAGGAGTCAGCTCAAGGTCTTTGCTGCTGGTGACCTGATGAGTTTTTGCCACCTGGTGGCATCAGAACCACGGTGTCCAGCAAGGACTGTTGAGTGCAGTCACAGCCCCAGGGTGATCTCCTTGTGTTCCTTGTCCCCAAAGGACAAGGAGCTTTTCCAAAAGCCTCTTCCAAGCAGGGAAGGACTGTGGAGTGCTGTGTTTCTTATTCTGAGCTGTCTGTCCTGTGTCCCAGGTGTGCTGCAATGGCACCAGGGTGTTTGTGGAGAGGAAGATCCTGGATACCTTCACAAAGGAGGTGGTGAAACGCACCCAGAAAATCAAAATTGGGGACCCTCTTCTGGAGGACACACGGATGGGAGCCCTCATCAACCGGCCCCACCTGAATCGTGTGCAGGGCTTCATCAAGCAGGCAAAGGAGCAGGTGAGGTTGTGATGCTGCCCTGAAATGTCTCTCCTGTTGGACAGACACACTGCCAGCTGCCCTCCTGCCCTGTGCCTTCCTAGTTAAGCTGGATTATTTGGTTGTTTTTGGTTTACTCAGTGGGTGTGTTGGACCACTAGATACAGAAGTCTGTGGGATCTGCTGGGATGCATCCCTGGGTCCTCAGAGAATTGGCTGATGTAGTTGCTGAGCTGTTTTCCATGATACTTGAGAAGTCATGGCAGTCAGGTGAAGTCCTAAGTGACTGGAGAAGGAAAAACACCCATTTTGTAAAAGGGTGGTGGACAAGAGCCTGGGAATTATATACCCATCACCTTCACTGCTGTGACTGTGCAAAGATCATGGAACAGATCTTCCTGGAAGTTGTGTTAAGGCACATGGAGGACAGAGAGGTGAATGAGCCCAGTACAGGGTGCTGCACCTGGGTCAAAGCAATCCCTGCTATCAATCCAGGCTGAGGCATGAGCAGATGGAGCAGGGAAGGACTTCCTGCAAGAAGGGACTGGTGGATGAGAGGCTGGACATGCCCCAGCCATGTGTGCTGTCACCCAGAAACCCCCAGTGCCCTGGGCTACATCCAAAGCAGTGTGGGCAGCAGATGAGGGGGAATTCTGCCCCTCTGACCTGCTCTGCTGAGACACCACTTCAAGCTCTGGAATCCTCAGTACAGGAAAAACAAGTGAGGAAAGGCTGAGAGCTGGGGTGGTTTAGCCTGGAGGGGAGAAGGCTCTGGGTACACGTGATTGCAGGATTTCAGTACATAACAGGCACTTAAAGAAAGATGGGGACAAATGTTTGAGCAGAGCCTGCTGGGATAGGCCAAGGGCCAGCCAGAGCTGGGCAGGATGCTCCTGGATGTGCCTGCATCCCTTCCTCTCTTGGCTCTTTTGCAGGGGGCAGAGGTGCTGTGTGGTGGGGACCTGTATGTGCCAGACGACCCGAAGCTGAAGAATGGCTACTACATGAGGCCCTGTGTGCTAGGTAGGCTCCATCTCAGCCATGGTACCATGGATGCTGTGGGATTTCTCCTGAGAAATGAGTTCAGCTTTGTAACCTGGCTCTGTGATGGCTCCAGTGTGGATGGACACTTGGATGGGGGTCCTAGAGAGAGCTGAGGCTTCCAAGAACTGCATGCAGGGAAATCTGTGCTGTTGGTGCTTTTGGGGTGCAGGGTGTGCCTGGCTGCTCTGCCATGCTGGGGGCTGTCTCCAAGGCTGTGTGGGTTGCTGAGTGCACAGGCTGTGCTGCTGCTCTTCCTCCTGAAGCCCTTGTGCTCTGCCACACTTCCAGGGAACTGCAAGGATGACATGACATGTGTGAAGGAAGAGATCTTTGGGCCTGTCATGGCCATCCTGCCCTTTGACACGGAGGAGGAGGTTCTGGAGAGAGCCAACGCCACTAAATTTGGCCTGGCAGGTGGTGTCTTCACCAGGTATGACTGGCCAGTTTTTGGAATCATTCTGGGGACTGAAATACTGCAGTGATTTCTGCTCCTCTTGCAGTGCCTGGGCTTCCAGAAAAGCTGAGGCAAGGGATTGCCAAAAGGGAAATCTGTAAATGACTGCACATCTCTCATATTTCCCCCAAGTGCTGGGTGGGCCCAGCTGTCCCTTGGGTTCCTCCCAGCCTGGCTTGGCCTGCTGCCTGCCTTCCTGCCCCTGCAGCATGCATCAGGAGCCTGCTGTGCTGCTGTTGGCTCCTTGCCCCACTCTGTATTGCTGGTGTCCTTGTCCTGCCCTCTGGAATTGAATGCTCTTGGAGCATCCTTGGGAATTGGTGCTGCCTCCTTGGAGCAGGCAAAGGCAGAGTAGGGCAGGCTTGACTCCAAAAAGCCCTGCTGGCCTTTCTGCAGTGGGTGTTGCCTGGCAGGGAAGGAGGGGGTCCAGCTGAATTTGCCCTTTTCCTGCAGGGATATCCAGAAGGCTCACAGGGTAGTGGCTGCTCTCAAGGCTGGGATGTGCTTCATCAACAACTACAACGTCAGCCCAGTGGAGCTGCCTTTTGGGGGATACAAGTCCTCAGGTGAGCTCTGTGTGCCCTCCCCTGGTACCTGCCAGCTCCAGGGGCTGTGTGTGGCCACTGGCACTGCTGGAGCTGTGTCCTCACTGCAGCTCTTCCCTGCAGGATTTGGCAGGGAGAACGGCCGGGCAGCCATCGAGTACTACTCGCAGCTGAAGACTGTCTGTGTGGAGATGGGGGATGTGGAGTCTGTGTTTTAGTGCCTCTGGGGCCTGTCAGGGCAGCATCAGGCAGCTCCTTGCTGCCAGCCAGAGATGTGGATCATGTACACAGCAGTAAAGTACCCTACAGTAAAGTACCCTACAGTTGTCAGTGCCCGGGGGGAAGCTGAGCTGGAGCAGCGTTTAACCACCCTGCTCCTGCAGGGGGGGTTGGACACACAGGGCTCAGCTCTGGTGAACAGAGGGAGGCTCAGAGCAGGAGGCACCAATCTGGCTTTGGGCAGCAGCTCCTGCAGCCACAGAGGTGTTACCAGAGGCTTGGCAGTGGCCAGGCTTCCCAGGCTGTGTGCCTTGATTCCCATTGCCTTCCACCCTCCCTCAGCTTCACTTCTGGCTTGGGACACTACATCAATGCAGGTTTGAGCTCTTGGACACAATTATATCCTGTAGCTATCCTGACCCTGTCTATTCTGTAACTACATAAAAGCCTTAAATGCATCATTGTTTATTCCCTCTAGACCCTTGGTAACCTCAACTTTTGGTTTTTTCTAAATGTACCTTACTTACAAGTGGGACAAAACATTGTGGGGAGAGTTGGCTGATGCTGCCTGGGCCAGGCATGGCCTCGAGAATCACCTCCACACAAGAGTGGGGGTGAGCTCCAGCATGGAATAGTGAAAGCTATCTCACTTCCTTCCTGTAAACTTACTGTTCTTTATACACTAATGAAGCAACAACTTCAATTGTTTTCTTGTGTCTTTTTTTAGCAATCAAATAAATACTCACTCTGGAACAAATTCTCAGTGTGACATTAATTGAGGGGTCCAGAAATGGGCTTGTTGCTGTATGAGTTAAATGAGCTGCAAGGTGGCTTTTTGATCACTAAAATCATAAAAGCTAGAAGGAACATCTCTGCCTGACAGACAGATTTCTGTAGTCCCACAAAACCAGAGTAGTTCTAGCATTCTGCAGAGCTTCTTAAGAAAACCCTCTGTAACTATAGAATGAAAATAAAGAATGGACAACTTCCTTTTATTGAGAAAGAAAAGGAAAAAAACCACAGGAAGCCAAGTGTTCTAAAAGAAAACAGAAAAGTCCCTTTAGCATCTGCAGACAAACTGGCAGCCCAGCTGCTCATAGACTGCATAGACAGCTGTGCCCACCAGCCCAAGGAGTGCCACGGAAGCAAAGGACCCTCTCCTTCGGTTTTTGGGTTCTGGAAAAAAGAAAAATCAGAATTTTTCAGTTCACTAAAAGACTAGCCCAGCCTGGAGAGTGAAGAGGGAGCAGAACTAAAGGGCAACCCCAAGAGCAAAACAGCTCAGGCCTCTTAGGGTAGGCATTCCTGCTGGAGGAGAGCTCTTCCCAGGAGCAGGAAGAGCATGCTGCAGTGCTGGCAGCTGTAGATCTGCACCCTTTCCTCCACACCTGGCTGGGGGCAAAGTCCTGAGGGCACTGTAGGAGCCCTGAGTGCCAACAGTGTGTGCTGCAGGGCACAGTCCTACCTCCCGTGTAGTAGCCATAGGCATAGATGATTCTCCCAAGGACCCAGGTCATGCCAAGCCCTGTGGCCACTCGCTGCAGAGAAAGGAGAAGCATTAAAAGGCTTTGGAGGCTTGAGCAAAGTTGTGCAGGCAACCAGGTGCTCAATCTCATTTTACCCCTGGCTTCTTAGCCAAAGCAAGGAGCAGGATGGTGGAGGCAGCTGCTGCTCCACTGCCTCCAGCAGGTGTTCCAAACTTCCACCTTGACTCTTCATTTAGAGCTCACTCCAATGTGGCTCCCGTTTGCCAGATGTGTTTACACTGCTTCCTTCCCTCTTGGAAAAGGAGTCTGTCTCCAGGAAAGACCTAATTTGTCTTTTGATGGCAAAGACAGAGCTACTGGATTTGGCCTATCTCCTCCCAAGTTGTCTGCATCTCTCAGTTAAAAATAATCCAGGCTTTTGTTGACTTCCTTTGGCAGGGCTTGGAAAAACTGGCCTGAAGGGATTCTTCCCACTCAGTGAGTGGAGGCTGCAAATGCTTTGCTTTGTCTAACAAGGCACCTTTAGGGGAAGGGCTCTAACAGCTGAAACAGCAGTAATGAGTTTATTACTTGTGATTCTCCTGCAGGAGACCTTCTACAACTACATTTTAAGAAGGGGCACTGCTGTTAAGTGTGATGTGGCTACTGAAGGGGCTGTCTTGGCCTCCTGCCCCCCACCTTGCCCAGGTCAGGGAGCCAGAGCACAGTCCTGCATCACTTACCGGGTGGTAGATTCCACTAGTGCCTAAAAAGAACAGGAAGGCAGGGTAATTTTCCAATCTGAAAATAAAAGTGAGGGGAGGTTGTGTTTGTGCTCAGGCTGCTTACAAAGACAAAACTCCAAGAGGGCAGAAACTGCAAACATTCCCTGCCAAGGGCATTTTGGGCTCATCACCAGTCTCTGTGCTCAGCGCTGTGGCTGAGGAAAGAAGAGATCTGAGCACACAATTTTAGGGGCTTCCTCCCAGCCTGTGCCTCTCTCCCAGGACACCCACCCACCCACCCCTTTCCATTTTGTTCTCTGAGCCCCTCCAAACATTCCCCAGGAGTTGTGCTTCCCAGCACCCCTCTGATGTGCTGCTGCAACCTGTCCACAGGAGCTGGGTGGACTTGGGCCTCTCCCCAGGGAGACCTGGGCAGCACAACAAATCAGAACCTTCTGGAAACAAGATTCCTCACATCTTAACATCTACCCATGGAAGCAAACTGGTGGGAACTGGGGAAGAGGAGACAACTTCACAGCACCATCCCAAGGTTTAATGCATAGGAAGGAGCCAGCACAGCCTTCCTGCTGAGCTCTGCAGGCTGAGCCTGGATCAAAGCAGAGGCAGCAGCACCTCTGGGGCTCTGGGCCCTGTCCCCAGCCCTGTGTGTTCCCAGGCCCCTGCTCAGAGGGGTCACTCACGTGTTCTGGTGCGCACGCTGGATGCAGTTGAACATCTGCCCGTTTTCAGGGTCCGTGCTGTACATGGTTGGGTACTGCCAAAAAATAAACCAGCAGCAAAGGTTCAGCAAGGGAGGCCTGCAGCTCCTCTCCCCAGGAGCCCAGAGCTGCCTGGGTGCTTGCAAGACCAGCCTGCTATGGCAGCTTAGAGCCTGTGCCTGCCTTGGGGCTCTGTTCAAGGTCACTGCCCTTCCTGGAGCTGCTGCTGGCTGCAGAGGCTTCCCCAGGCCTCAAATCCAGCCCTCAGTGCACCACACACACTGGCTACACGTGCTCCAATCCTGCCTTGATGCAGCAGGAATGGGATCACCCCAAGAGGCAGCTGGAGCTGCCCTCCTGTTCACCCCTGCCCGTCACTTCCATGAGTGAAGTGGTGAAAGAGCAAAGGAGCAGTGGTCTGTGCTGAAGCCAAGTGGCACAGCAGCCACTGCATGCCATGGGCCTGACTCACAGCTGTCCCCACCCAGCCCACTGCTCTGCCTGTGACAATGGCTCCCCAACAGATGCTGAGGGAAGGTCACTTGAAAGACTTGTGACAGCGCCCACATGTTCCTCCTGAGTCTGAGAAAGCCTCCTGTCACTTTTGTGCCACTACCACCCCTTTCCCCCAGTGCTGCATCAAGTTTTATTTGCAGGGAAAAAGGGCTGAGCAGTTTCTTGCCCATCAGTGCTGCCAAGCTCTTTCAGCCTGATGCCCCAAATCCCAAGCTGTGTTAAGCTTTCAGGAGAGCCATGGCAGCAAGTCACCCCAAAGGTGAAGGGTGATGAAGGTGTCAGCAAGCTTGCCATGCCCCACAGAGCACTCACCTCCACATGGTACTTCTTGCGGGCGTTGCTCACATTGAAGGCCAGGTGTGTGACCATGACAAAGCTGGCAGCCCCAGTCAGAATGACGTAGCCATACTCCTTGGAGAGAACAGCCATGGTGCTGCTGCCAGAGAAAGGGAGCCTGTGAATGCTTGGGGAAGTGGCAACACGTGAAATACATGCATGGAAGAGCTGCTGAGCTTGGACTTCAAGAGCTACCAGCACAGGGAACTGGCACAAGGAATTTGTATCTTTTGTACCTTTCTGTACCTGCACAAAGCAGGAGTTCTCTGCATAGTTCCTGTCAAGCAAGGCTTAAAATCACCCCAGAGCTAGTGGCCACCACATGAAGTCAGTTTATTTCCAGCCTGTTCCCTAAAGAGACATGTTTCTTCATGCACTGGGAACCACACCTGTGGAACTCCTTGCCAAGGGACATTGTGAGTGCAGGCATTTCTCACAAATTAAACAGGAAACTGGGCGAGTCCTGGGACTAAAAGGTAAATTGGGAGTTGTAACAGAACCTGGGTCAGAAATCCCCTGAGCTGGAAGGAGCTGGGCTACATCAGTGATTAATTACATTCATATTGTATTTATATGAGATCATCCTCATATAAAATACTAATAAAACCCAGCACCTCAGCAACGATAACTGAACTTTTGGGTAGAGCCACTGGCCAGATGACTGATGCTCAGCCCTGCAGCTCCCAGGAAGCCTCTCAGAGTCACAAACTGGTGAACAGCTCCTGGCATTTACAGACATCTGCACCAGCGGCCAGGGGACACCAGGGCCTGTGTGGCTTTTGTTTAATGGTTCTGTGCTCCCTCATGCAGGCCTGGGACAGAAGCATAGGGCAGAAGGTGCAGCCTGCAGCCTCTGCCATGCTGTCCCACATTCCACATTCTCACTCTTCCCTGTTCAGCAGCCCCCACAAGCCTACCCTGCTTCACTCCAGCTCCCTATCTGCTGCCAGAGAGCACAAGGGCCCTTCCCCACAACCATCCTGCACAACCCCAAACCTCAGTCTGGGTCACTCTGGAGAGTGCTGCATGACACAGCCCAGAAAAAGAGAGCAGAGAGCTCCCTCCAGCACGGAGATAATTCTCCCAATCAAACACCAGTTGGTGCCTCCACGATGTTTGTAATGAGGTTTTGGTGCCTCCCTGCACTGACCCACCAGCACAATCTGTCAGTGTGGGGAAAAACAGGCCACCTCAGGGAACTGCTGCAAAGTCTTCCTCTTGCACCCCTCACAAGGGATTTTTGGGGACTAGAGGGTTTTATTTCTCATTTGCAAAGGATTATCATTGATGGAGCAAGGTGAAGACAGCAGCTGGCT